GGTCCGCTGAGATGTCCCACAGGGAGCTGCAGCCCAGGTCACGTCCCCTGGCACTTCGGTGGAGCTGTGCTCCTGTCCTTTCCTGAACCAAAACCTCCTCTCACGCAAAGCTCGCCCCTCCTCGGAGGGGGAAGGTGAACGTCCTGCTCTGCCACTGGCAGGGCCAAGCTGAGCTCACAGTCACCAAGGAGAGGTCGGCGGCACTGCCCGGGATGCTGGGGGCTTTGTCCGGCTTTTGGCTGAAGCAAAGTGTAAGCCTTGCCGTTGTCTTGTAGCACGCACACGTGATGCTGACTGCCCTGGTGGTGGTGGGGGGGGAGGATGGCACTTGAGGAGGGGAGCCCGTAGGTGTGTTATTGTTCCTGCTCTTGACACCTCCAATAAAAACAGTTCTGCTCTATCCTCATGTCCCCTTCTTACTCGGCATGGCCCAGCTCCCACCACCATGCCTTTCAGATTGTGCACGGTGCTGAGCTCTTTTGATGGGTGCCAGAGAGGAAGGGAAATGGGGTCCGAGGGTGGTGGTGGGAGGAGGGGGCCTGCCTGGCCCAGCTACCCTAGCAACAGGCAGGGAGGAGGGTGGTCCCCATCCTCTTTGGCTCATGGCCCAGCCCATTGCCGGCCACCGGCATGGGCTGTGACTGCTGAAGAAGCTGAGGTTTCTGCTTCTCGGCCAGGCAGTTCTGCACCCCCGGGGTGGTCCTCCAGACCGCTCCAAATGGAGGTGATGGCAGGAGGGCCCTGGGTTGTGTGTGCCAGGGACAGCACAGGAATTTCAGCACCGGGTGAGGTTGGAGGGCTTTGTGCATCTCACACAGGAGATTTGCGCCTCAGCAGGGCTTTTGCCGCCTCATTTCGAGTAAACTAGTTTGTGCCTTGTTGGGCATCTTAAAACTGTCAACACACTTGCTCAAAATGCCAGTATTTAGACTAATGCTAATTAATAGAACAGCTTATTTTTTTTCCCATTTTGTTAGCTTGCTCGATACTGACTTTTAGGGTCCCACCTAGCTCTGGACCTCAATGGAATGTGTGCTGAGCACCCAGGTATCGCCTAGTTGTGCTGACCTTCCCAGACCAGAGCTCCGGGTCCCTCAAGCCGGGTGCCCGTGGGTGACGCCTGGCTCTTGCGGGATGCACCCATGGTGCTTGCAGGAGCAGCGTCCATCCCACGGTGCCATGCCCAAAATAACTCCCTGGAGGAAATGCATTCACAAGCCGTGATACGTGCTGCCAGTGAGTGTCTGGGTTGGCTCGGGGCTGCTTCAGAGGATCTGTGCCTGGCCTGCACGGAGGGCTGCTGGCGAGGGAAAAGAGAGGTTGTCCTGCAGCTGGAAAGGCTGCTGGGTGAGCAGGGAGGATGTGGAACCCTCGGGGGCATCGGGTCCAGCACTGCGGAGAGGCTGGAGGGCAGGAACCCCCGCACTGCAGGGCTGGGTGCTCAGCACCCTGCCCAAGCCCCATTCCAGCCCCAGCTCCACCTTTCCCTTAAGCATCTCTCTTGTCCCCTGGTTTCTGAGGGTGGGTGATTGAGGCCAAGTGACCACTGGTGGGAATTTTGATGGCTGCCTGGCAAGGCTGGGTGTCCCTGGACGCAGAGCGGCCACAGCCTGGGTCTGCCTGGGTTGCAGGCTGTGCTCATCCTCTGCTCCCTTGCATGGGCTGCAGACTCTTGGTCCCAGATTTTTCTGCACAAGCAGGAGAATGAGAAGCTCCTTAAAGAAACAAAAGCTGCCAGAAGACAGGAGCCTCCAGTTTTCCCATCATTTCAGGAGCTAGGGCTTTAAGAAATAGCCTGAGTGTTGTAAGATTTGGCAGCCCTGCGGCTCCTCCACCCAAGAGGGAGAAATCCGAGACGCAAAAATGGCTGGGAGAGACCAGGGAAGGATTAGCTTGGTGGGCAGGGCATTAGACAGTAATTTGCAGAAGATGGGTACGGCTGGGCTCTGCCAGGACGGGTCTCCCTGCCCAGAAGCCGAAAGCTGTTGGCAGTGGAGCTGCAGCTTCGCCTTTAGCCCTCACCATGCACCGAGGTAATGACAGACCCTGTGAAGGGGAAGGCATAAACACTGGCCGGGACTGGGGGGAAATTCACACTATTAAATCCATCAGCTGCTGGAAGAAGCTCTATAAATGTCAGCGGATGAAGGCATGATTGAAGGTGACTCCAGGATGTTTCCAGGAATAACTGCCCACAGAAGTGCTGGGGGAGGGAGCAAGACCCCTGGGAATGCAGAGATGATAAGTCAGCACCGCACAGAGATGCTGTGAGCGACGGGCCTGAGCGCTCCCCTGGCAAGGCCATGGCCTTTCTGCTCTCCCGGCGTTTTGCCAGCTTAACCCAGCAGCAGGTGGGTGCTGCCCAGCGCAGGCAGCAGCTCCACGGAGGATGGCATTGTCTGTGAGGGGTCTGGCGTTGCAGGGACGGCAGAGCTGCCCCGGTGGTTTGCAGATATCCCTTGGGCCAAGCCACAAAAGACCAGAAAAATCCCTTGTTCCTGCTGCTATCTCCATCCCCCGAGCTGAACCTCTGCCATGGTGCGAGGGGTGCCCGTGGCTGCGCCCCCGCTCTGCCGGGGTGCGGTGTTCCCCCACCTGCCGGGGTGAGGTGCCCCCTCACCAGCCAGCCTGGTTCCTCTGGCGCCTGTGGCATGATGAGATGCCCAGAGGTAACGGGGTTATCGTCTGATTCTGCTAGGGCGGCTGCCTTTCCAAGGTCTGATAATGCCTCGGCGAAGCCATGCTGCTCTGGGTCTGTCCTATGGCCTCCTAGGTATTTGGCTGCACTTCGAGTGAGATTCCTCCTACAGCCTCTTCTGAGTAAAGACACTATTTTTGGCTTTTCAGCAAGGAAGCCATGCTCAGCCTGGCGGAGTTTTGGAGACAACCTCTTTTCCTTTCACCTCCCCGCAGGATCCCCGGCCACGTCCAGCACGGGCAGGGATTTGCTGCCTTGCCTTCCCATCTCCGACTGCCCCTCGAGCCCTGTCCTGCCGCTGGTG